TACTTTAACTTTTAGAGACAAAGAATCAATGAAACTGAGACAAAGTTTAAATTGTTATCGATAAATTTAACTCTTATCTAATAATGTCTTTGAACTTTCGCGGTCTCAATTTTCATAAACTTGTAGTAAATTAAGTTGCATACGATATAATATCCAAAATTATTACCACGTAGTTATTATTTATTTATATTATATACAGGATTCTTTTTTCATAGAACATTATTTATGCAAATAATAAGGTCTATGCGTATGAATACATTTTTATTTGCAATTAATTAATAAAATACAAATTAGCTTAGGTTACGCACTGTGTAGCCTATCGCACGCGCTTTCTTATCGTTAGAACAATAATAAACAACGTGATAAAATGACGCAATAAATCGTGAGAGAATTTACGGTGAGGGGTTTACAGGATTTAACGGCTTTATTTATAGCTTTGACGAATGAACAAAAGTACATGCGATTCGATTACCAGAAAATCACATCGATTACGTGGCTCGCGGATATTCGTTTTACGTCGGGATAAATATTGCTCGTTGTTACGATACTTGATTAGTAATTCGTAGCGGAGTTGTGCACGTGCAATCAATTTCGTCCGCTATTCTTGTAACTCGACGGTGGATGCAAAGTTAAGAATGACAAATATCGAAAAATTGGACTCGGGCTGAAAATTGCATTAATATAATTTTCCTACAGCGAAATATTAAAATCATAAATCCTGTGTTATACTTTTCAAATATTAATAATTCAATAAAAATGTTATTTACATCATAATTCTTGTGCGGTAAAATCATGTAAATTGTACTAAACTGAATACTGATAAAATTACTGAATACCGGTTAAAAATAAAAAGAGGAACGTTCAATATAATGTAACATAAACTAACTGAGCATACATAAATTTTAAAAATCTGAAGCCGACTGTAGTAGAATTCCAAAAAAGTTCTCTTATATATATATATCAAACAGAAATATTATGGATTCAATATATGATCTCATTAGTTGTTCTCTGATGTATGTACCGCAGCGGCACCGGGTTCGACCGACGATAAAAATAAAAGATCGATCAAAAGAAAATTGCGCCATCGAAAGAGAGCTCGATGCAGTCGGAGAAATGAGCCGCGAGTAAGATAGCGGTCTCTGATGCGAATCAATAAATATTTATACACGCCACAACGGGGGGATGAAATTATAAACGCCGTGGAGTGGTTTATTCGACTCGATAAAGTGCATGATTAATAGGTGAGCGATTAGTACGAGTAGGCGGACGTTGCAGTGGTGTTGGTGCACCAATTGGTGCGCAGCTGCGGCCATAGTATTCGACACGAGTATTCCGGGAACACGACAGGATTTTGCTGGAGCTAATTAGACAGTAATAAGAAGCGTAGGTGCGATTGTGTTGAGCACTTAAGGGGATGCTGGAGCCGTCTGTTTTACCGGCATTTTTTGTCGGCACGTAGCGTCGTATTAATTTGACAGAATTAAAAATCCTTCTCCAGAATTGCAGTACATACATTAATAATTCGGGGAAACTCCGATTTTATATAGAAAACGAGAAAAAATTACGGAAGTACAGATTTCCTTATCCTACTCTTATCCCAATATGGCGTCTCGAGTTGCGGCGAGCTGTCAGCTCGTCACAAGATGTATTTCATATAAGAGATATACCATTGGTACGAACGCGAAAACAAGTTCCCCCGAATTGCACAACAAGAAAAACATCGATAAACCCCCCAAATCAAGATTTGGAAGCGTAATATAAAAGTATAATGTCGGTGTGCATCGTGCGTATGTGTGCGTGCAATGTAGCGTGCTATCCTTGTCTATATCTTTGTCTATACAAGGACAGATATAGTTCGCCGGTCTTCTTTACCGACGCCGATCGAGTTCGGCTACGGCTCCAGCATCCCCTTAACTCGATTTCTCCCGCGATCGCCCCATCCTCTCTGAGCCGCCCCCGGTACGATTCCTATTCGGTGAATTTAGAGCGGGTAAAGGTCGCGAAACTATCGTTCTCCCTTGTGTAGAACGTAGCTGTAACAGTGCTCGAAGTTCAACGCGGGAGCGTGGCCGAAGTAATCAACGACTGATCGATCACCGAGTCTCCGCGCTTAATGAACCGACTTCCTTATTCTAAATTACTATATGAGAGATGTACCGATAGACCTGACGTAATAATCGCCAAGATTGAAGATGTCGATGTACATTATATGCACGGAGAAACGCGGCGTCCGCAGCTAGATACTATCGACTTACAACGCATTGCATGAATTACGAGTTTCCGCTGAACTTGAATTACCCCTAGACTCTCAACTTCTTTATTCTGAATTACTACGTAAAGTTTCGATTGGTGGTGACGTAAGGTAGTCGAGGTCAAAGCTTCGATTCGCTCGCACACGTATGTACTAAGCCTGATGGTGCACCCCTGGTGAGCTTTATTTAGATAAGACACTTACGCAGCAGTTTGATTACACGGAAGCGATTTTGATCAAGATCCACCGCTAGACGAGAATTACGTCAAATAAAGTAATCTCTTTCAATTGTGATATAAAATATATAATCGAATATTTTATTGAAATTTTGCAAATTTACGCGAATAATTATTTTTAGCTTAAGTAATTATATTCTCTTTATGTTGTAATTTTGTACCCTGTTTATATATATATATATATGTATAATAACCTTTTCCATAATTTATTTCCAAAATTATATTATATCGATATTACATATTTATGTCGGGTATTATTATTTCGGGTGTTATTCGAATAATTATTAATGTAATCTCAAATAAAGTCAGCAATAAATACGTATAAACATTTTATTGCTCGCATAAAATAAATTATTACAAATTACAATTAATTCAATCAACTACACGACTTCTATATTGTTATTCCATTAGAATTCTCTTGTCACTTGTGTTCGTTATCCGTTATTCAAATAAAATTGTATCCAGTTCCGCACAATATTATACAGTATTGACGTAGACTAGCTCAGGTCGAAATGTCGATTCGTTCATACACACTAAACCGCATTTATATTGTTTAGTCATGACAGAAGAGAGTATATTTGCGGCTCAACTTGCGTCAGAATAGTCTTACCACCCTCGCTGCCATATACTGGAGCCTAAGGTACATATTTATGCAGCTTACCGTTACCGCAGTGCTCACGCGGTATACTTCCGGCAAGTTAAAAAAAAAACACGACAAACCGTTATGCTAAAAACGTCACGTGAGTCGTAAAAGCGATAGTATCGGTTTACGTTGAAATAAATATCGATCATTGCGTTGAGCAACGAGAAAGATAAGAATACGGAAAAGAATGCGGCAGAAATTTATCAAAGTTAAAAGTTTACACGCGAGCTTCAATTATTTTACGGGGCTCGATAATATTTAGTATTTAACAGGAACAAAAGGAATAATGTCTGAATTATTGAAAAATATTTTGGAAATGATATTCTCTTGCATATTTGAAAAAAAAAATACGTTATGAAACATATAATCTGTATCTAGCAAATATTTTGCTAGAAACAGTGACTTATTTATGCGAAATTGCTCTTCGATTAATTTCAAACCGATTTCTAAAAAATATTATTTAATTGTCAATATATGTATTTTACTTTGGAAGTTTTCAAGTAGCAAATATAGTGAATTTTCTCAAGATTTTTATTACAGAAAAATAAAAAAATCTGTTAAAAGAATTCACTCTTACAACACTCTTTAGCTGAATTAGTCTGAAATATTTCTGACACGTGTATTTTATGTCGCAACAACACCGCAATTGAATAGTTTGCTAATTTGCGTTATCGCAGTTACTTACGTAATAACAAATTCCTGAGTAAATCTTCTCGAGGACTGAATATCGATCTCGCTTGAAGAAGGTAAAGTCAGAGATATGGAGATCGTGATTCGTTCGTAGATTCGATGCACACAGCGATAGTTACGGCGCTGGCGTGAATTGTCTAAGGGGTATAGGGAGGCCGGAGGCGAGTACAAAAGCGCGAAGAAAGATATGCAGGAGACGAATTCCAAATTTTCGAGCCTCTCGCGTATCGTGGTTAC